GCACCACCGCGTGTAGAAATGGTACGTTTACCATAAATAATGAAAAAGGTGACATTTTGTCAACTTGCGCTGGGTTGCAGTATTATATTCAAATAGCAGCAGTAAACTGGACGCTTAGGTGTGCATTATTGATGCTTATTCCTCGGTAGCGCACCTATCGGGCTCCGATTATAGGCCAGTTTGGCATTACACTTCATGAATTACTGATATTTGACTTCATTATAAACTGTAGATCACTCATATGCACTGGACCTAATGCTCTTTTCTGCTGACCATCACGCCATAGTTGCTTTGTTCAGTGATTTGAAGCCATACATATTTATATATTTCTTTGTGGTGGTATTAATTATAGCTTTGTTTCACTAATAGACCGGACAGACGCATTCTGATCTCCTTTCTTTGGGCGACGAAGTCGATTTCTTTTCCTTTCTAGTGTGCAATGTTACTGAAAATTCCAATATCACTGACTCTCATTGCAATACAAGCTTGGTAACTTTCATCACAAATGCATGAGTTTGTCATACAGAAAAGTTTTAGATATTACACAAGTTATAACTCATGTTGATTAATGAGGTAGTCTGATTACCTAACGCTCTGTTGGTATACTTGTTTTTAACTCTGACACGTTTGTTCCTTGGGGGAGTATCCTGTTGGGAGTGCGATGCGTGTGTTGTGCTGATATGATGAATTGAAAAAGTCGGCTCGCGTGGCGTAAAACTGTTTTGTCTCTTCAAAACCAGAGAGCAGGGTAGTAGTTACAGGTCCCTAAGGGGTCTAAGGAGTACACAAGAGCGCTACACAATGAGGCAGCCTCCTAAATGAGGTTTAGAAGCAAAACAAAGCGCTTAATGGATGGATATCCAATGGAAGGCTGTATAATACCAATCACACATCAGTAGAAGAAACTGATAGGGTTCAACTAAACAGAAATAGGCCTCACTTGCTTAAACCAGCAATATTTGAGAAAGAAAGCTATACGGCAGGGGTGTCTAAACTTTCTTCAAAGAGGGCCGATCGTATCATGTCTAAATACCCAAAGGCCGAAATATTATTCACAAACGTTTTCAAAATATTAGCGCATAGAATTGGAGCTTTCTGTGTGCTACTGTGTTTTCCTATCACTGTAAAAAAGACGCACAAGTCTTCTTTTATTGTTGGATTGGTTAGAACAATTTGGATCAGTAAGCGCTTCTGACAAATAATTAAACTGTTTAAGAGAAGACTTGGACCATAAACACTCAAAGAACCATTTGCATGCTTAAAGCGTTCTTCGCATCATTAAACAGCTGTTCAGATTGATGGAGAAAGTGTGGCATATGGTTCAATATACAACCTTTTCAAAAGGTGAGTAACGTTTGTTTATTTGATGTTTGTTAATAACACCTTTATAGGGAGGCAGTGAGTAATGTTTGTTTATTTGATGTTTGTTAATAACACCTTTAGAGGGCGGCGGTGAGTAACGTTTGTTTATTTGATGTTTGTTAATAACACCTTTATAGGGCGGCAGTGAGTAATGTTTGTTTATTTGATGTTTGTTAATAACACCTTTAGAGGGCGGCGGTGAGTAATGTTTGTTTATTTGATGTTTGTTAATAACACCTTTATAGGGTGGCAGTGAGTGATGTTAATAACACCTTTAGAGGGCGGCAGTGAGTAATGTTTGTTTATTTGATGTTTGTTAATAACACCTTTAGAGGGCAGTAGTGAGTAAGGTTTGTTTATATGATGTCTGTTACTAACACCTTTAGAGGGCGGCGGTGAGTAACGTCTGTTTATTTGATGTTTGTTAATAACACCTTTATAGGGTGGCAGTGAGTGATGTTAATAACACCTTTAGAGGGCGGCGGTGAGTAATGTTTGTTTATTTGATGTTTGTTAATAACACCTTTATAGGGTGGCAGTGAGTGATGTTAATAACACCTTTAGAGGGCGGCGGTGAGTAACGTCTGTTTATTTGATGTTTGTTAATAACTCCTTTAGAGGGCGGCGGTGAGTATTGTTTACTTATTTGACTTATTTGAGGAAGCAAGATAACTAATCAGCCAATTTGGATGCTTGTATATTAACAGAAGTATACAATAAAGAAAGAAATATGACTAAATTCTTATTCATAATTATTTATATGGCAATAATAACATCTTCAGCTAATACTCTTTGATCATGACAAGCTTAGGAAATGTCTTTGTGTGCATACAGACAAAGAATAATATTGCTCCGAAAGCAGCTTCCTCTCTCAGAGTCCTACTTTACTAAACACCTCCCAAGCAACACATCCACAGCTCTAAACCCCAGAGTGCTTCACAGGACCAGCTCTAGACATGTGTCATAAATAAAGCCTTATTTGAAATTCTATCTATTAATAGTGGCTCCTCACAACCTCACATGATTGCCGGCACCTCATCGCTTAATTTATGCACGTCCGAAGAAGCCCTCATTAACATTCTACAGTCATTCCACACACTACTCATTCTTCTAGAGAGATCATTTCAAAGGCAGATTCATCTGGAGATGAAACATTTTTATTTAGGCTACAGCACAGGAGCGGGCCAGCTACTCAGCACACTAATCAGATTAGAATATTCATTTATTCCAGATTAAAATATGTATTAGTACAAATTGTGCGTGTCAAACTGGCAACAAAAAGAAATAAATCACTTCTATTAAAAGAAACGACAAAGCTTATATTACATGAATATAGTTAGAAAATAGAATATGCACGGTGATTCAAACATGGGAACTCACTGTGATGTTCCAGCACCTACTGTTCAACAGCCAGATGTATTGTCAGTGTAAATATACCATCAATGTAAATGTATAATGTATGTATTTATAGCTTTGGATGCACCGTAATGCAGAGCTCACAATGTGCTCAAATGCAATAGAGGACGATACACCATGTTACATGGCGCTATGGTGATTTTATTTAGATCTTCTCCTCTGGGGTGTCGGCGGCCTAGACACTGAAGTGTACACAGATACTGGTGCTTGTGAATCACATGTGACGGATACTCAATAAGAATCAAGCTGGCCCTCCTGCGTCTGGATGACAGTGGCTTTGTTCTGAAATCACATCTCATAAGTCACATATCAAAGAGTTGCGTTTCCTGGGCCAGGCGCTGAGAGCAGACTGGACTATCAGTTCCGGATGGAGCTGTTTAACCTTTTCCGTTTGTTGGTATTCGGAAAATGTGATTACGATTTTAATTACGACACTTTTTTTTTTATTTATTACGACAATGTTTTTTATTATACTGGTTTATTTTTGTCTTATTTCATCTGGAAGGTGACAAACCACGAAATGAAACTTCCCACACTCTTAAAAAATGATGGTTCTTCAAGGGTTCTTCAGGAAAGAAAATGGTTCTATGTAGAACCTTGACCACTCAAAGTACCCCTTGCATGATTAAAGGGTTCTCTGCATTCTAAAAGCGTTCTTTAGATTAATGGAGAATGTGCTTTAGATGTTCTATATAGAACCTTTTTGAAAAGGGTTCTATGTAGCACCAAAAAAGGTTCTTCTATTGTTACAAGTTGACATCGTAACAACAGAAGAACCCTTTTTGAAAAGGGTTCTATATAGCACCAAAAAAGGGTTCTTCCACTGTTACAAGTTGACAGCAAGCTGAGCCACTTCCCTCTCCAACTGTCGGCCGCTTTGGCTGTGTCATTAACACACAAGCAGCTTTAGGTTTCCAAAGTCGGTTATTTCGAAGCCCTAATATTATTTTAACATTAAAAATAGGCTTGATATGCATTCAAGTATTGAACCTCAGCATGTGACTACTGACACAATCTTTTACCAATGCCAATATTTGATATTCTTCACAATGCTAAGACATTATCAGTTGTAAAATGTAGAAGTTGGTACTACATCTATCTGGATTAGCACTATGGAGAAATCTAACAGTTCTTATTGGACGGTTACCAATGCAGTAAAACGAATAAGATGCAGATATTTTGGATGGATGGATGGATGGATGGATGGATGGATACTTTATTGATCCCGAAGGAAATTTAGCAATTTAATTTAAATATTACTGCAGTAGTCAAGCACCATTTAAACGTTCTGTACAATAAATACATCAACAAATAGTGGTTTAAAATATCAGTCAGATCTAAACATCTGTTGTTCATTTTTAAACAGTTATCTGATATGATTCTTATATAATGCAATATGATATTATGCATCTCTACAATACAAACTTTAACCAAGGTTACCGCATTAATGGCCCACTATCTACATGATGGGTTACCCACACTTGTTTATATTTACAGCTTAATATTGTACAGATCTTTTAGCTGCAAAATATGTGCACTTAATTCAGCTAATACACTGCAACATTAACATTTACTGATTTAGTCGACACTTTTTAGTTTGGTGCTGGTTCATTTATACATAGGTCTCCCACAAGCACTGACCAGCGAATTCTGCTGAAAATGATGACGGTATCACTTTAAAAGCTGTATTTGAATGATTCGCAAATACTATCAGAGCAACAAACAGCACACAGCAGCTGGGCTTCAGCCTGCACTACTTCCAATGATTCGAAGGATCAAACTAGGAAAACGTGTACATTTTTAACGCTATTTGAAAATGCAAGCTGTCCTTTACATTGTGTGAAAGTTTAATGACGAATGGACAAATATAAAAGGTTTAAAATCTTTTGGGAAAAAAGCATCTCATTTAATAACATTAAAACTTAAGGGTGTTTTTTTCCCATTTTGGAGGTGAACATGTAAAGTGAAGAGGATTGCAGTTGTAAAGTGCAGTGCACTGGTGCAGCTGGAAGATGTGACACCAACTTCCATGCAGAAAAAGAAGGTGCGTACAAAAGACAAGAGAAAACACAACAGGCTGGTGTTGCAGGGAGAAGAGATTTACCGAGGTCGAGGTGTGGCTATGAGGAGTTATAGCAGCCTCATCAGCAGAGGCCACCGAGTGTGGGATCGATACTCTCCTAATGCAGCGCTCATTATTTCTCTGAGTCAATCCTCCCGACTCAGGGACGGACACTAAAAGCACCCCCGGACCGTCCCGGTGGCTCCGGGACCCTTAAGGGGCCTCTAGATGTCCGAGCCCCAGACGAGCTCTCAGGACCTTTTACCACCGAGTGCTGAGGGGACACATTAAGACGGAGTCCTTTTGTGCGCTGCATCCGGCATTTTGATGCGGCTAACAAGAACACAATAAATCGTTCCTCATTACGCAGTAATTAACTCCGCAGCCCCATCCCCCCCACCTCCCAGAGCCGAGTCTTAAATCAACCTCCCCTCCCACCTCCATCCTCTCCTCCCCTCCTCCTGCTGCGCGCCTCTTTAATTTCCTCACCTCCGCAGGGGGTAGGGGCGTACAGATAGTGTATCGCACTCCATCATTTCCTGCCATATGTGCCCTCCCCTGCCACGTCAACCCCACCCTTTTCCGTTGCCCCACCTGAGGGGGGGGGCAGATCCGGACCCCTTGCAGGACAACACCTGGGAGAGGGCAGGAGTCTCTTGACCCGGGAGGAGGAAAATGAACTTTGGAGCCTCGCTCCGGCCTGTTTAAGTGGTAGGACAGTCGGAGCAGCGGCAACGGATGAGAAGTCTTTGCTAACCGCTGGTTGCCGTTCCCCAAAGACCAAGCAAAGTCTACAGAGGTTTTCAAAGAACTTCCACTGTTAATTGTTAAAATGAGGTTATTAATTGGACGTAGAGGAAAATCACCTGTCACTTCAGATGGGGATCACTTGGTGATTGAAAGGTATCTCTAATGCAGGCCTACAGGCCAGCTACGCAGCCCCCATTGGGGATTGCCTATTGAGTCTGGGTAGCCCAAAGGCACATATCCTAGCCTACTTACTGAGAGGGGGTTTCGGCTTTGATTGTGCACGGAACTGACACACCCTCTCAGATGGCCCAGATACTGTAGGGGAGAGTGGGGTACAAACTAACCCAGGGTAAAATGTAACAGATATTTTATGTACTTGAACTGGTTCAAGCAGGTTGGGCTTTTAGTCATCTTCTCGTATTCCCATAGCAACGTCATCGGTGAATTTTCAGAAAGATATTTCTCAAAATTTAACCCTGAAGACTGTTTTTGTATAATAAAAGTATTTTTTTCATCAAAAGTGGTTCTGATTATTGAGTTGTGTTTATAAGTCACATAATTCACTCCTATTTAAGCAATAGAACACGAGAGGGAGTGTGTTATCGAGCCTTCGGCACGTGCCTGCGACCAAATCACAGCAGTGATGTTATTGGCGATAACACACAACCTTGAGTGTTCTATTGCTTTTATACAACAGTTAAATAAATAAAGTAATAAATTAATAAACTGGGCCGTGAACGCGGCGTTTAATATGTTTTAATGTTCGCAGTTCCTTCACCAAATTATAGTTCCTTAACAAGCAGCTTGTTGCTACATCAGAGTAACGAGCTCCGCCCACTCGCTGCACAGCCGGCAGTTCGTTCTCCAGCTCCTCGTTCTCCAGCCAGAAATGAACCCAATACCATTCGCAAAACTAAATGGGCTGTAAGATGCTTTACAGACTGGCTGGAACAAAACAACATTAATATTGATCTGGGAAAAATGGACAAAACTGAGCTGAACTTCGGTTCATTTCTGACTGATTCCAGGTTGTTCAGCTGTTCTTCTGTCACAGCTGCCGACTGAAAAGCTGCTCAGTGGTGATGACAGTTTGGGAATTTAGTGTCGTCTCATCTTCAGAGTCTGACCAAATCAGCTGTCGGTCAAATGTGATCTTAAAACTGTCCATTTTCTGTTTGTGGCAAAGTAAGAATTAAAATGTTCAAATGTCTTGAGCGTCTCCTACAGCTGTCAAAGTTGTTGCTTAGCAACAGCGTCTCAGTGGAGTGATAGTGTTTGTGAAAAAAACGTGATGTTATGGTGAAATAACAGCACAGTTAGAACGCCTCTCAACCAATCAGATTGTGTGGCCGGAACTGACTGTTGTATAAATTATTCCAATCTCCCTATTGGTGGCTGTAATACAGCACCATTTTGAAGCATGTGCAGAACTCACAGCGATAACCAGGTTGAAGTACACCTTCCAAATGTGGGGTTAGTTTAACACACTGTATCAACTAAAGCCCTATTCAGACAGGATTAGCTTTCCATCAGGAGGTGGGGTAAGGCCAGTTTTAACACAGGAAGTTTGTAATGTTTACAACCAATCTAAAGGGGAAATGAAACCTTAGTATTAATGACAGACCTGCGAGTGGCTACATGATTTACGCACCGCCTTTACTCTAGAAAAGAAAACATCAAAACGTTTAATGTAGCCATTATTTTGCTTACCCTACCCATTTACCTTGCTGTCTTAAGAGAATGCAGGGCGTCATTAGTATCGCCATTAACTGACTGACATGGCGCATCTGGATGGGATCAAAATCACAGAGAAACGCAGTGACACTTTATTCTGAGTGTCATTTTTAGAAGAAACAAACAGTCAACGGACTCAGTAACATGTCAAAAACATATGAGGGTCAGGATTAGGTTTTGGGTTGAGGTTAAGATTGGGATTAGGATTAGGTTTTGGGTTGGGGTTAAGGTTTGGATTAGGATTAGGTTTTGGGTTGAGGTTGAGGTTAGGGTTAGGATTAGGGCCAGGGTGAGGGTTAGGTGTTGGGTAAGGTTGGTGAGGTTAGGTTTTGCGTAATGGAAGTAACACATTAACAACACATCTACTTAATGTATCAACAGAACATCTATGAGATATTTACTTCAGTGTATTCAGATGCTTCACTACTGCTGCTTCACTGATATGTTGTTGATGTGTTACTGATAATCTGTTAAGAGTTTATTAATCATCTACAAAGAACCACTCCAAATAAAGTGTTACCAGAAACACAAGGAAATTTTTCATTACCCCACCTCTCCATATAATCTAATCCCAAGTAATCCCATCCAAACAGGGCTTAAGCCTTCCAAAGAAAACAATAAGAGAAATCCTGATCCCCCGTATATATTCAACACAATCATTTTTTATAAGTTTTTATGCACAGATTCATCAAAAACAAAAAAAAATATCTGTCACATACATGAAATACACTACAATTTTAATCCGTGCTGATATCAACTCTTCTACCGTGTGGTCAAAAATACATTTGCCATGTTTGAAATAGTCTCTTTTCAAGAATGATATTTTGATTAACATATTTTTATGTATTGAGGTTGGAAAGCTACTCTGTATATATAGTATATATAGTTTTGAATCAATTGTGTTCTGCATCCATTTACCAGGCTTCAGCAGAGTCCACTACAGTTAACCCTAGCTATGGGGTTAGTTTGCACTCCTGCTGTTTTCAGCTGAATTGTTCATAAATTGTCGGTTCTGGAAGCAAAGTTTTTGTTTTCTTTTCTAACTGAGATGTGTTTCGTTGCTTGTATACAAAAAAAGCTCAAATGCTTTTTAAATTATTCAGCAAAAACCAAAATGTGTCAAGTTGTGCCCTCCTCTACGCTACTTGTGGGTTGAAACAGGGTCTTCCAAGAAACAGATAATCTTGAGTGAGGCCTTATATCAACATTGCTCTTAATACAACTGAGCAGTTGTCTGGTTTTGCTGTTATATGATCAGATGTTTAGTAAACTGGAGACTGTACTGTGAGTAGGGGTGGGCAAAATATATCACAGGACTTCAAGACATTTTCTTGGTACACAATATTTCTCATTACATTGTTGTGTTGGCACTGAAGAGGATGCAGGAAACACTGCGCTAACAGGCAAGTGCTCTTTTATTGAACATGCAGCAAAGGAAATTCACCAGCCCAGACCTACTGAAGTCAGAGTAGCGGAAAGGTCATTAATGGGCCATAGAACTCCTATCTATGGTGGACATTTAACCCACAACCCGATACAATAACACATAAACAACACGTCTCAACTAGAACAACAACAGTGGTAACAGGACCTTATTCGTACCAGAAGTGTGAGTCTTTCCGAGACCCTCTTTGCATGTTAATGCCTCCCAAGCTGCCCATGGTGGATGCCACAACATTTACTTTTTATGAGGTTTGGTAAGGAAAAGTACAGCCACAATACAAAAATACTACCAAAAACTATGATGATTTTTATGCAACGTTTCACAACGAAGTTGTTCTTTAAGTATATCCACAATATACTCCTGAACGTGAGACTGTTTATCCCAATAATGATAAATATAGTCTTACTGCCCAACCCTAGACACTGACTGATTTGCAAAAATACTATGAGTGGTTATACAGTAAGACACAGTGCCACTCAATGGTCATTTCAAACATTCATTTATTCATAAAATACATACATTTTGTGCTTTAATCATGACAACATTCGGTAATATATTTTTAGGCATCATGGCATTCTTAGTTGTACTGACCTGAGACTTATTTTATACAAAAAAAATCACCAAATATCACAGTCCAGACAAGGAACGACGATATTACAAACCTCTTCAAATAACTATACTGTGCACTTTAGGGCAACCACAGCACCGGTCCAGCTCAGCGATTCCTGCTTGCGCCACTTTTATAGCTGCTTCAACTTCTTTGCCCAAAATCACAGTGAAAATGTAGGAGATATTAACACAGAAAGCCCATTAGGACAACATGCCTAAATAATTCCACAGACGCAGAGCAACATAAACCTTTGGGAGCGCGGTTCCACATGGAGCGAGGCTCAGGGAATGCTTGGCGAGATGCTGACACCACTGCTGTTTTTAAAAAAAGGCTTTAAACGCACAATGTTAATATTTCATTGAGCTTTGCCCCACAGGAGGGCTGCTCGTAGCAGGATAAAAAAGCCACTGATGGGAGATCGTATTAGTGTTGTGAGCTTCAGAGGAAAGCCTTGTCTTGTTTCTCATTAATGAGGGGAACAGAGAGATGAGCAACAAAGAAACGTCTAATTATGAAGCAAAGAGAGAAAGAAAAAACAACATGTAAACACGGCAGCCCCACGAAAAGAGACTGTGTTTGTCAATGATACAGCAACACAAATTAACTTGGGTCTTTTTGCATTCATACCAGTATATTCGTACCCTTGCATGCACAAAACTTCAATGGATCCATTAATGGTATGGTTCTACACTGCAAAATGTGAATTGGGACAAGTCCCACAGAAGCATTTAGGGACTTCGCATTACACTGTATAAGGACATACTGAAATAAAGTTGTTCGAGCAGATGATGGGACATTTGCACCATATGCAAAACCATTAGAAAACCTGAACAGCCCATGCTGCTCCCACGGCTATCAGGAAATTTGACAGAGATCCAAAAAGTTTAAGACGTGCAGATGTTTTCGGTTTAACCAAGCATCTGTTTGCGCAGGCATGACTTGTGCGGAAAAACCACAATGGGCCTCTAATAGCTTTTTATGGCACCGTATTAACTCGGTTTTGTAATTACACCCGAGCAATAAGCAAATTGGACACAAACTGAGACCCCTCTTGTTGCAGCCAAATCCGGTAACGTTGAACATGCATCACCGGGCTATCCTGCATTCACTTTATATGGTTTACGAAAAGAGCTCATGCAGTGCAATGGAGGCAGTGATCTACAAGGCCAGGTGACAAAATGACAAATGCTTTTATACGTTAGAAAGAAGTGATATCATTGGGACAGCAATGAACCACTCAGCTTTTGCTAGCTTTTTCATGCAAGAACTGGTTGGTGTAGAATCTCGTTAAAGTATGAAGTTATGGTAAATGCAACAAATCAGAATAATAATCTGCACCTTTGCCTGATTAAGAGTATTTATTCTACTATTATTACTGTGTAGGGCTGTCAGAATTACTTGATTATACTTGATTACTCAAGTATTTAATCAAAAGAATGATTCATATTCACCTTATCAATGACTCAGCAATGATTACATTTACAATCTGAAGATGCAAGAAGTTGATTAGTTGACAATGACACGCGTTTTAAATTCTCCTATCGGACCCTTATGTACACACCCATTTATATGCATTTTTTGCCACGTAGTGTTCTTACTGTTCATTAGGGCAGCAACTAACCATTATTTTCATTGTCGATTAATCTGTGGACTATTTTCTCGATTAATCGATTAGTTGTTTGGTCTATAAAATGTCAGAAAGTGGTCAAAAATGTCAATCAGTCATAGAATCAGAGAAATTTTACTTTTTCGTAAAAAAAAAAAAATCACTCAAACCAATTTAATCGATCACCAAAATAGTTGCCGATTAATTTAATAGTCGACAATTAAGTGATTAATCGATTAATTGTTGCAGCTCTATTGTTCATTTTAGTCCCAGTTTTACTGTTTAGCCTTCGACGACTTGCTTAAGGGTCAAAATAATTGGTAGATTCCATGATTACTATGTAAAATGAGGGCTGAATGATTTGGAGAAAATATCCTATTGTGATTTTTTTTTTGACCAATATTGCGATTGTGATTTAAATACGAATGTTTTCTATAAAACAGGAAAAATGTTGAATAATGTGGGACATAATTAAAATCACAACTCTTGCGATTTGGAAATTGCACTTTTTCAAACTGTGGTGTTGATATAAAAACGATTAGTCCCTCAGCCCAGGTGGCAACCCTACTAATGTCACTGCCAAATATCAAAACCTAAACAAATAAATCAAGCACTCTGTCAAACAATCAAATATTACCATGATATTCTGCGATAAACTGTCCTACAGCCCTCCTGGCATGAAGTGTTGCTGTTTGTGCAGCGAGATTACACTACTGATGTCACTACTGGACAGCAAAAGACAAATGTTTAGCAAGCCAAGATAACAGAACAACACTCCACACCGCAGCGCATGGAAACAAGCCTTCCGTCTTCCTCTGACCTCTCGCAGAGACGGACACATGAACGGCACGCACTCACAAGCGAACGAGTGCAGCTTTCCCCATTATGTGACAAGAGCCCATCTCTGACAGAAACGATCTACTGCGTCGTCGTCAGGCACTCGAGAGAGCGGTCTTCCTGAACGGAGAACAAAGGTTGATGGGTCCTCGATAGGACGAGTGTCCTACAAAACACCGTCTCAAGCTGTTTGTGTTAACAACTGTACTTCAGCTGAAACAGGCTACCTGTCCAAGGAGAATGTGAAGCCCATTGTTTTCCACACTTCACTCGCCTTTGTGATAAAACTGCCATAAGCTGGCTCAAGGGCCTGTCACAGACTATATCTCATACCTCTGCCTTGGATCCACTGAATACAGCTCAGGATCGCTTGCGTTTCTTCATTCACTCGTTATTTCTGCTTCTGCAATGATGGGATTCAGTGCCAGAATGCTCAAAACTAGGTTCCGTACATTCTTTTAGAGAACCTTACCATTACCAAAGAAGGACTGCATAGGTTGTTTGGTTGTTGTAACATTTTGGCTCACATTAAGTGAAATCAGCACAGCCTACCATTGCCTCTTGTGCTGTAACTAGGCTTAGGTCTAGATAATTGGCAAACACTGATGGTAGATATAGACAAACCCATGCTCCCAAAAGCTTTAATACAGGCACAGTCTTCAGTCCTAGCTTTTGGTTTAGCGGTAACAAATCTCTGAAATCTCCATGGCCAGCTCCAGGCACTCGCTTGTTTCATGGCAGGCGTCAAACAGGCCACAGTCGAAGTCACAGTGGCAGTTCCAGTCGCTGCTGTGCACCGGCTCTAAGGGGCGCCGAAAAATACTTGTACGAAGGACAGATGTGATAAGCAGCTCTCTCGCATGTTTCCGGCAGCATGACGCAGAGATCGTAGAACCGGCAGAAGAGGCAGTTGAGAACAATCCCCGCACAGGCATCTGATTGACAAAGAAGAAGGAATTATAGGCAATAAGTAAGGAAGTTATTCCTTATTCATGGCTATCAGAAGCGAGAAAGGCAATGCCTCCTAATGGACAGTAATGAATGTTGACTTGCAGTTTGGCAGTTTAGTCAGCAAGAATTCTTTATAGCTTGATCAGAATGATAAATGCATATGCTAACTGCACACGGTGTGAGCATAAAGAGGCTGTTACAAAAAATGGGAAGCTGTAATAATTTGGAACAGCTGTTTCAAGGAAAGAGAAAAAAACAGACAGTTTAAACAGCAGTAACACTTGTATAATAAAGGAAAGATTTGAGCTATAGGAGAAACTGACCTGTGCTTGGTACTAAACTATATGTCAGACACAGAGATCACAAGTCGATTTACACCGATCAGGCATATCATTATGACCACCTCCTTGTTTCTACGCTCACTGTCCATTTTATCAGCTCCACTTACTATATAGGTGCACTTTGTAGTTCTACAGTTACAGACTGTAGTCCATCTGTTTCTCTGCATACTTTGTTAGCCCCCTTTCACCCTGTTCTTCAGTGGTCAGGACCCCCATGGACCCTCACAGAGCAGGTACTATTTGGGTGGTGGATCATTCTCAGCACTGCAGTAACACTGACGTGGTGGTGGTGTGTTAGTGTGTGTTGTGCTGGTCTGAGTGGATCAGACACAGCAGTGCTGCTGGAGTTTTTAAACACTGTGTCCACTCACTGTCCACTCTATTACCTTGTTGGTCCTCCTTGTAGGTGTAAAGTCAGAGAGAGCCGCTCATGTGTGTCAGCATAGTTTGTGTTGGTCACCCTCTAGCCCTTCATCAGTGGTCACAGGATGCTGCCCACAGGACGCTGTTGGCTGGATATTTTTGGTTGGTGGACTATTATCGGTCCAGCAGCGACAAAGAGGTGTTTAAAAACTCCAGCAGCAGTGCTGTGTCTGATCCACAGACAATGAGCGTAGAAACAAGGAGGTGGTCATAATGTTACGCCTGATATGTGTATGTGAGTATGAGTTGAGTCTCAATTCAGCAAAATTAGCTACTGTGCTAGTCAGCATACCTGCTATAGCCAACTGTTTCCAGTTGCTTTGCCACTTTCCTTTAAACAGTACATTTACTAGATGTAAAACTTTGTTCTGTCCATCAGAATAAAGGTTTTTCTATCATGAAAGACTCGCTAATTGAAACCTGACTCTGCTGTGAGCTGTGTGAGAACAACATTGTGCCTGATTGCGCATCACTGTAGCAAAATTGACAGCAAAAGTCACATGTGAGTTTAGAAACGAAACATCCATTTACTGCATTTACTGCAGGTTCTAATTCAATCAGTTTTGTTTGTTTTGTTTTTTTTCCCAGACTGAAATTTCACAAGTCTTAGAGTCTGAGTTTGAGTTGTTGTCTATAGGGCTCTATAGGAGCAATAGGACTCTCTGGAGCAGCTGCACATGAGCCTAAGGTCTCACGCCCAATGCTAAGCATCAGCTAGAAGGATATAAAGCCCCCCAACATTGGGCTGTGGAGCAGTGGAACTGCATTCTCTGGAGTGATGGAGCTCCATCCAATACCTTTGGGATGAGTTGGAGTTCTAGAACTGATCATCCAACATCAGTACCTGGCCTCACTAATGCTCCTGTGGCTGAATGCAACCAAATCCTCACAGCAATTTTTCAGGTTTTTAAGGTAAAGCCTTCCCAGAAGAGTAGAGGCTGTTACTGCCAATTAACACTTTATTTACACTGCAAAAAATGGTATCTTGTCAAGTAAAAATATCTTACAGTCAATAAATCTAATATTTCTCCTGTTGAAATTGTTCTAAGCTTATTTTAAGATTAACATATTTCCAAACATTTTTACTTTTAAGTGATTTTATTAAGTAAAATTATCCCACTGTATCCTGCCTTCCACTCAATGACCTCTGGGATAGGCTCCAGCAACCCATCACCCCCCAACCACCACAACCCAGAAGGATAAGCGGTTTAGAAAATGTGTGTGTATCCCACTGTACTGGCAGATAATTTTGCTTGTCTTAAGACATGTGCTTAAAACCAGCAAAATTATCTGCCACTATACTGAGATCATTTTACTTTACCTAAAACACATAAAAAATGTTTAGAAATAAGCTAGAAAATCTCCAAATTAGAAATATTACATATATCCACTAGATTTAAGATCATTTTACTTGATAAGATTATATTTTTTGCAGTGAACTCTTCGTTTCAGAAGAAACACTGGATAAGCAGGTGTCAACAAACTTTTGCATGTATAGTGTAGCTCATCACTGTGGTGCAGAACTGTCTGCCTGATCCATCTGTCAATTTATACATAAGCAGAGGATTAAAAGCACGAGTTGAGGACCTTAACTTTATGTTTCGTTAAATAGTTGGGATACAGAAAGTCTTCAACGACTTCGAATTATGAAAAAACTTCAAGTTCACCGTCACATATGTAATAAAACCTAAAAGCTTTTCTAAAGAACTCTTACCTTGGGATTCTAGCTTGCAGAGAGACACTCAGAAGCCCTTAACGACCTCGTGTCTGTCTGCACCTCTTGTTTATAACATTTTAAAAGCCTCCGGTCTCTCCCGTGGCATTTCTTTACACATGCATAATTTAAAGAATCACCTTTCCCTCCCTAAGAGAGAAGGAACTCAGGGAGCTGTTTGGAGATCTAATCAATTACCATCCGTCTTTATTGGCGATCCTTTCTTTTTTTTCTCCTCATGAAAGGGTCATCTTTGCCAAGAGGGAACAGCTTTTTCACACCAGTAGGCAAGATTACATTAACTACAAATACTTTAATGGCAAGTAACTACTGATGAATGAAATTGTCTTATATGGTAAAAGATGCTTTTTTTAGACTAAGCAAGTTTGTAAGTTATACTAAACATAAAACCTGAAAGGGTTTCTAGTGCATTTTCTATCAGCGCCACTGTCAAAATGTTGAAAGATACGGAGTCTATAAAAGACAAATGTACCTAACTGAGCTCAGTGGTCAGCTGGGGGGGCAACACTGTTATTAGCATGATAGAACTGAGAGCTGAACCAACACCAAGAATGTGACTTGCAAAAATTGCTGCATCATAATATCAACGCACAGTGCCCTGTTTTCAATTATTCATGCATCTAAGTATGTAAGCTTCGTCAAATGTGCTGCTTAATTTACTTAATAGTTTTTCCACTGGTATGGCCAGCTTTAAAGTTACATGATTTTATTCTCTCATGTTTTTCCTCATTGTGAATTATACATATATTTTGATAATTAAGAGTTTAAAAATGCACAAATGTATGCTTGTGGCAAGATATAAAACTCATCTTTTGTCACTCAACATAAATAATGTAAAAAAAAGCTGTGAAAAATGTTCTTATTTCATTAAATTATGATTACAGACACTATGGATCACACAACAAGCCTATTATCAGACACAAAGAAGCAACAGCTTGTGCTGATTAGAGATACTATTAACAATTAAGTTATTTCTGTCTCCATTTATTGGCCACACAAGCCTTGGTGAGCATCTGGAGAAAGGTAAATATCCAGTCTAGCACGTGGCAAATTAATAGAAAATGCTTAAGGAACTGCATGTGCATTGAGAGGCAGATGCCACTATGAGTCACAATATCATTCAACATTAATAGAAAGTTGTGTGGCTCCATAATTATATTATACAGACAATCCGAATAAGTGTCACTAGCTAGGTTTTCATTCACATATTTCTGTGCATATTTTGACATATTCTTGCATCCAGCAGCGACACTGAGGTGTTTAAAAACTCCAGCAGCACTGCTGTGTCTGATCCACTCAGACCAGCACAACACACACTAACACACCACCACCACGTCAGTGTTACTGCAGTGCTGAGAATGATCCACCACCCAAATAGTACCTGCTCTGTGAGGGTCCCTGGGGGTCCTGACCACTGAAGAGCAGGGTGAAAGGGGGCTAACAAAGTATGCAGAGAAACAGACGGACTACAGTCTGTAATAAAATCCATCCAAAAACCTGTCAGGCTCTACATGGCTTTAAATAACGAGTCTTTCATTGGGGCAATACCACTTAAAATGGTTAGTTAGTCTGTAGTTTGTACAGCAGCTATGCTAGCTAGCCTAGTAGCTGATCCAGTTGTAGTTTTAATGTTATAATAAGTAAACACAATCTCAAAATAAGCAATAATACATATATTGACTAGATTTAAGATCATTTCACTTGATAAGATCATATTTTTTGCAGTGAACCCTTCTTTTCAGAAGAAACGCTGGATAATCAGGTGTCAACAAACCTTGTTGCAACCTTGTTGCATGTATAGTGTAGCTCACCATTGTGTTGCAGAACTGTCTGCCTGATCCATCTGTCACTTTACACATAAGCAGAGGATTAAAAGCATTTTAAAGAGTTGAGGACCTTAACTTTATGTTTTGTTAAATAGTTGGGAAACAGAAAGTCTTCAACGACTTCGAATTATGAATTAATCCTGCATTTCACGTAACGTCACACTGTACAGTCGCTACCATTTTGAGGACCCAATCAGGGAGTGGCTGCGCTGCGCGATGCCTTCAATTTGCTGTGCTTTGTTAATGATTCACCTGCAAGACGCGACAGAAGCCGAGAGACACACAGACCTTTAACTCAGTGTTTTCACTCCAGGCTTGGAGCCGCTGCACTGTATAGTTCAGCGTTTCTCTCTGCTGTTCACACCTCGTTCAGCTCAAGAAGGGATTAATTAGCTAATAATAACAGATATTTTAACCAGGAAACCACAGTTATGCAGTGCAGGGGTTTCAGGACTGGAGCTGAACTCTGAACTAACTGCAATAGAAAATTTACAGAATCACGTCTGTCGAAACACGACATAGTTTTCCGACCCACGACATTCAGTCTGATATTTAATGCTTATGTTTCTCCATTCAAACCTCATTTAAATCAGAAACAGAGAGTGAAGTTATACCGGCGGTCTGCAGCTCCGTTAGGGGGCGACTGTTCATCTCTCGGCTGTTAACATCAGCTAAAGTTATCTAAAGGCCAGCATTGTTCACATCTGTGTTAATCAGCTGATGTCGTTACCCTCCTATGATCACAGAGTGTTTTCTCCTCTTTATGCAACACCATGGGATCCTTTACCCACCCTGACGTGAAGAGCCGGTGGGCTTCTGTGCTTGTAAATGCTTTGAGAGACTCTCCAGAACAGGGAGAGGGGCTGAGTATAAATATAAATGTCAGGAAAACACAAATGTGGTAGCTTGGAGCAGGAGTTTGGAGGGGAAACCGTATAAGGATTACAGCCTATTTTATCGACTTTGTTGACGTACATTTTTTCTCTTCCAAAGTAAGGAGAGTAATTTTAGCCATCTTTCCCCTCTAGTTACGTTAGTGCGGAGCAGCAAAGCCAGAAATTCGGTCTCAAATATAGCGGCCACAACAGAAAAATCACATGACTGGAACTCTAGGATAGAATAAAAAGAGTTGATCAAAATGGCTTATCTTGGTTTTGCCAAATGTGCGTACCACTACATTCACCTGATGTGGGCAAACTTTTTACAGCACAAAAAAATATCTGATGTACTGACTTGCTGAATAAGTAATGTAAACGTGAATAGAATGAAGTCGTATGACTGTATTCATTTGGTATAGTGTAGTGGGTAACACCTCTACCTTCTACGCTGTAGACTGGAGTTCAATCCCTGCCTGGGTAAGCCCCCTACACTATACCAATAAGAGTCCTTGGGCAAGACTCCTAACACTACCTTCGCCTACCTGTGTAAAATGATCAAATTGTAAGTCGCTCTGGATAAGAGTGTCTGCCGTGAATGTGAATGTATGACTGTAGATACAAAACATGACAGGAGGCAGTAGGTACCACTGGACTAATTAAAAACGAAGCTCTTACCAAAGATAAAACATGACGGTGATGTTAGACAATGAACAGACATAATGTACATACATGTACCTGCCTCCCGATTAGTGGATATTCTTTAGCCATAATATCTGTCAGTGCATTTTTTCACACGCTTGTGATGTAAAATAAAATGCAGCTGCTCAACATCAGAGATTCATAGAAAACATGAATACGTTGTTATGAATGTGACAGTGTTTCATTCTCTTATACAGAACTGATGGAAACTTTACATAACTCTACCATTTTTTATACTAATAACAATCCAGAGCTATAATCTCTATCTGTCTGTAGCACTTTTCAGAATGGCTTGTAAATCAGTATAAGCTGTGGGGGATAATATGTTCCTGTTAATTAATGACAATCATATACACTGCAAAAAATGGTATCTTTTCAAGTAAAATTGTCCTAAATATAGTAAATTAATCTAATATTTCTCCTGTTGAGATTGTTGTAATCTTAATTTTAGATTATTTACCTTATTTCTAGACATTTTTCACTTGTTGTAAGTTTATTAAGTAAAATGATCTCACTATATTGGCAGATAAATTTGCTTGTCTTAAGAAATGTGTTTGAAACCAGCATAATGATCTGCCACTTTAGTGAGATCATTTTACTTAATATAATCTCTTAAAACAAGTGAAAATGTCTAGAAACAAGCTAGATAATCTTATACTAAGAGTACAACCATCTAAAAATGGGAAATATTAGATACATCGACTAGATTTAAGATCATGTCACTTGACAAGATACTGTTTTTTGCAGTGCATCACTCACCTTCAGCATCCTGAGAGTCAGGAAAGGAGTTTGTAGAAGACGAGTCTGTCACAGAGCAGAAGGAATAGGAGGACCCAGCAGATCCCCCATCTTCTTTGTTTTCTCCTGAGTCGAGTTCAGAAATGGGGCTCAGCCTGTGCAGAGTTCTCTCTGGAGCCGTGGCCATCACTTTCTCAGCTGGCAAACCTGAGGAAACATTCCCACATCAGTATAAAACAACAACAACTGATGTTTTTGAATGACGTCAAGATTGATGTATCCCTAATTACATATATAACAAAAGTGACAATAGACCAATACATTGCAATGTATATTTTAGTTACATCAGACTACTAGATAAGATTACAAACTATTCCCTATTAGACAGAACAAGAATGTACACATTAGGGATGTACCAATATTGGAATTGTGGGCTGCTGCCGATATCTGATATTTTTATTATGTACACATCTGCCAATGCTGATACCAACAGTACATGAATATTTATAAAATGTAAAAGATTAGACTAGGTCTCCTATGACAAGCATTAGAGATAAATAACATTGTTTCTGTAGGGTTATAAAGGCAGCAATAGGAATAAATTACAGATATTTCAGCACAGTAACCCACCTAAACATCCCGCTCTTCTCAAATCAAATCAAATCACGTTTATTGTCAGATCACATATACACAGGTGTGAAGGTGAGTGAAAATCCTAGGTGCGTAGCCCCTTTGTAGTACTTAAATATGCAAACAATATATATGTACATATACATACATACATATATATATAATCACACTATAAATACACACACATATACATATAATATACATATTAGTATGCACACAGTATTGCACCATTCCAATGTACAATAATAATAGTTATAAATAAAAGCTGTACAGTTATATGCAATATGTGAGTCTGTGGTAGATAAGTGGGATGATGGGGAGGCAGAGAATAGAATATTACTATATCGCTGCTCTCGGAACAAAACCTTGCATCTCCATTTTTGACGTTTTTCAGTTTTTGCCATAATGTGCAAATGCCTGTTGTCCTTACATTGTGTTTTAATTTCATGATGAATGGACTAACAGAAATGACCCAAAATTACTTGGAAAAAAGTCTGGTTCCATTGACTTACATTAAAAATAAAGCATGTTTTTTCCTTCTCCTGTAAAATTACCATTTTGGAGATACGAGGTTTTGTTCGAACAACAGCGATACATTCCAGATTATAAAGATATGGATAGAAAACGTGCAAGATGTCAATCTATTTGTGCAGGTATAGATTTGCAGTTACAGTAAGATCGGAGTGAGTCTGGAGTTCAATAAATATGTAAACAAATGTAGGTTTGGAACATCGGTCACATATAAACATCTGTGCAATTTTTTTTATCTGCCAATACCGACATGATTCTGATATCATCGTGCGTCCCCAGTACAAATGGCAAAGTATCAGTATTGTACACTCTCAGCTGAAATGATGGCAGATATCTTTTGTCTATCTGCAACAAAACCATTTTCTCATAGTGTGCTGTGGGCAGTGACGGCTCTCTAAAATGTATCAACAAACACGCTCATATTCAAAGTGAATGAGGGGAGATACCAAACAGCAGAGCCTCTTTTTGGCCTCAGACACGCATTTGTCCCCAAGCTAATGTTTCTCAAAACACGGTGGCCAAATCCTGAAATACACTCCTGCTCACCCACCGGTCTCAAAGCCCAGAAATCATTCAATAATGAATCTGCCTTTCACGGACAGATCGGAATGCAAACTATTAATGAATTATGGCCTTGGCTAGAGCTCGCCTGTTTATTTTTCTCCCACCTATCGCCAATGAATTATTCACTGTTCTTTTCTCTCTTTTATTTAACATTTAATGTCTTATGATTAATTAACACACGGGACATATTTTCCGTACAGGAATCTGCATTGTTAGTTCAGAATAAAAGAGAAAGAGAGAAAGACAAATGAAAATGGCTTTGGGCTGTATTGGCTGATTTTTTTTCCCTCCCCCCTCCCCCTCTTAAACTGAATAATTCAGAAAAGTGGGTAAAAAGTAATTTGCTCGGAAAGTTCTGAGGCATCTATTTGTGAACACGAACACACTGCGCATTTGTGGACTTGAGAAATCTATCACTTGTGCTTTATGATGGGAGGAAATGAAAATATGTCAGCCACAAGGTTCAGTGGCACAGAGTATAACCTCCATATAACCAAGTCTATACAGTGTGACTGTACAACACAGGATACGTATCACGATGTGTAGTTTATCTAAAGTTTGATAAAGTTGGAACTGACACAGTGCGACAGGAGAGCCACATTTAAAACAACACGTTTAATGACTTCATTACCTACGTTTCACATTCTGCATGTAAACAGGACTAATTATGTTCTATTTTTAATTAAATATGCAGTTGGTCAGAGTTCTTTAAGCACAGATATTCACTATATGATCAGAAATGTATACTGTGATGTAAATTAATCATGATAATGAGGACACAGTCATACCACCCACCTTTAGTTTAACAGGAGGGTTTATGAATCGATGGGTATAAAATCACTGAGGGTTTTCTGGGGAAAGCGAATTATATATTTACATATGAAAGGTTTTGTAACAAAACACTATGGCTACGTTTACATTAGGAGCTTCATTGCTCAAATCCGATTTTTTGCTCAAATCCAATCTCTCTGACAGGATGGTTCACCCTCGTTTAGGTAAGTGATTCAAATCTGTCGTTAATGCGAACGAACCGGCGTCCTGAAATGACCCTCATGAGCACATCCTACTCAGTAATGTCACGTCAATGAATCACTGCATCATCAGCAAACAGACTAACGAGCAGAACGAGCTTCGCTGAGAAGATAATTAACTCTGATCAGTTCTTCATTATTAGAGCGAGACGAAGATGAAAAAGGTGAGATGTGTTGCCATGGTAACGCTGAATCATGGCGCACGCGCAGTGGAAGAAGTAAAGCACATGAATTCCGATCTGAGCATCACATTAAGTTCGCATGGCCATGAATCGGATACGTATCCGATCTAGGACCACGTATGAAAGTGGCTCAGGTCAGATTTGAAAAGATCAGATCTGCGTGTCCACACAGCCCTGAAAACATCAGATCTGAGTCACATTAGAGCAACAAATCAGATTTGTGCTACTTCAACCTGGTAATGTATCCTTTCCAGAACAATTTCAGCTACACAGAGTTTTTTTAAAAGAAAAAGTTGATGTTAATGGAAAACCCATTCTTATGTCTCTAATTAGAATAGAATAAGTGACCCTTATTAGTCCCACAATGGGGAAATTTCACCTCCGCATGTAACCCACACACACTAGGGGGCAGTGAGCACACTTGCCCGGAGTGGTGGGCAGCCCTATCCACAGCACCCAGGGAGCAGCTGGGGGTTGGGGGTCTTGCTCAAGAGCACCTCAGTCACATACTGTTGGCTCAGGGGATCGAATCAGCGACCTTCCGGTCACAAGGCAGGTTCCCTAACCTCCAGCCCACGACTGCCCCAAAACATGAGTTTAATTTTTAAATAAACTTTTTATCCCTCAGGCTGAGCCCTATTTTAACTACACCCCTGCATGTTAGAGCAGGAAGTGAGACTGCATCCCTGTCCCTCATGGCCACATGGTGAGCAGTTAGATCTCATTGTTTTAAAATAAATGTGTCCCAAAGTCTGAAAATCAGTGTGGAACATTAACACTTGTCACTACTGAAACGCACATTTTCTGCAATTAAGTGACTTTTTTGCATTTTGATGAAAAATATGATGAGCTTATGTGCGTACAGCTGTTCAAAACTGTCTGCTAGTCATGTATTGTCTAGCGTTTTTGAGTTCTGACCTGAGAGGGAGTGTGTTATCGCAAAATAACGTGATGCTATTCACGATAACACACAGCCTCGAGTGTTCTATTGCTTTAATACAACAGTTAAATAAATAAAGTAAGAAATAAACAAACTGGGCCATGAATGCAGCGTTTAATATGTTTTAATGTTCGCTGTTGCTTCCGCCAAATTATAGTTCCTTAACAAGCAGCTTGTTGCTACGTCAGAGTAACAAACTTTTTTTGTTCCGACGCAACATTATAAGCACAATCAGGCTTATGACACTAGAGCTGGGAGGCAGGAGGAGTGCTGGAGTGAGGTGTTGATAGACGCTGACCATTTGCAAACAGGCATTTGCATTGATGCTCTGCTGCACCTCTAATAATTATTATATAAAGCAGGACGACACTCGCTGCCTTCCAAAGCCGAGGCAGCAGCCGAGGTAGGGCGGGTCCTCGGTAGGGCTGTCCTATGAAGACTCCTCCTTAGTAGCCTATTGGAGCAAATGGAGCAGTCCTAACGAGGCTGTGTGGTGACGTCACCAGAGCGGCCCGAAACTTGTGAGGGAACTGGTGAGAGAAAATGGAGCCCACTGCATTGAGTTTGTCGCTTTTTCATGTCTTCACAGAATGGAGGAGATGTTTTTATGCAGTACGATAAACTACATATTTACAAAATATGATCTATGGACGAATTCAAGTAGGTGAACCATTTACATTTTAAAACAAGTTCTGCTCCAATGGCTTCGTTTTCCGCTGTCTCCTTCGTGGGTAACCGAAGGCCTGGAAGGATACATCTGATGCGTCCTTCAAATCACCCAGAATGTAGGCTGCATAGGATCCTTCACTTTGGAGCGGCCTTCTATGACGCAGCGGCCGAGAAATGCAGCCTAGGCTTTGGAACGCAGCTATAATAATGTACTGCAGGACCAGAGTTAGCAACCTGAGCTGGAATTCACAAAGCAGCCTTGAACGTGCGCGCAGCTGTCGGCAGCACTCTGAGGATGAATACAAAGTCATCAAGGGTTTTGCTGGGAGAGTAAATAAAACATAAGAGTGAGAAAGGACAGGATTGTAAAAGAGGAAATCTAGAAGCATCACTCACACATAAAGGAGTGGCCATTAACTGGGTGATTCTACAACTGTGGTGCTATTTAGTCTTTGTAAACTTCATTTTTAAAAATAGTTCTTTAACACTGTGTTGATTTTTTTAGCATAGAATCAGCAAATACACACACAATCAGCGAATACACACACAAAATCAGCAAATACACACACACAATCAGCAAATACACACACACAATCAGCAAATACACACACACAATCAGCAAATACACACACAGAATCAGCAAATACACACACAGAATCAGCGAATACACACACAGAATCAGCAAATACACACACACAATCAGCAAATACACACACAAAATCAGCAAATACACACACAGAATCAGCAAATACACACAAAAAAATCAGCAAATACACACAAAAAAATCAGCAAATAAACACAAAATCAGCAAATACACACACCCAATCAGCAAATACACACAAAAAATCAGCAAATACACACAAAATCAGCAAATACACACACAATCAGCAAATACACACAAAAAATCAGCAAATACACACACAATCAGCAAATACACACAAAAAATCAGCAAATACACACAAAATCAGCAAATACACACACAATCAGCAAATACACACAAAAAATCAGCAAATACACACACAATCAGCAAATACACACAAAAAATCAGCAAATACACACACAGAATCAGCAAATACACACACAAAATCAGCAAATACACACAAAAAATCAGCAAATACACACAAAAAATCAGCAAATACACACACACAATCAGCAAATACACAAAAAATCAGCAAATACACAAAAAATCAGCAAATACACACAGAATCAGCAAATACACACACACAATCAGCAAATGAACTGCTTTCTTTGCATTCAGGAGGACATTAAGGATATTCTATGGATTTACTTAATTACTCTTTAAATTATTCATTTTTATATGCACTCAAAAATCCGATCATAATTATGATCGGATTATTGAGTGCATATAAAAATGGTCATATAAACACCATACTCCGATCTAGAAACCCGATTATGAAATCCAATAAAGAGGCTGGATTCGAGCTAAGTAATCAGATTTCTCAGTCTGCGCATGCGCGAGATCAGACGGCAGTACCAGCAACAAAACGCTTTTAGAGCGACGCTGAAACCAAACACGAAATGAAGGGATTTAAATGTTCTTCATCTTCTAGGTGCTGTCTGTTCATATTTTCAGGTAAAGTCGCGCGATGTTTAAAAAAAGCCGAGGCATGAAGTTCGAGTTTTACGTCACGTCTGCAAAGCAGAAATCTGATTACTGTCTGACTCATATAGACTCAGAGTTTCCCATTATCTGATTACTCAAGTGCATGTAAACATGTTGATCAGAAGACTGACAAAATCTGATTTTCTGCAGTTATCGGATTATTAAGCGCAAGTAAACTCACTCAATGATATTCAATCTTTATTAAGTAACAGGGCTGAACTTAAACATATCAATATCACAATATCAGTGCTAACATTTCTTCTCCCCGTGATCTTCAAGCAATTTGGATGATGATCCTGCTGGACATGTGACTCGCGGAATAGTCCAGATATTTCATAGTACATTTTTCATAACCTATAATGGACGACTAATGAACACAATAATGCCAAAATAACTATTTTTAATTGTTTTCATGATTTTATTTTAAGGTAAAGTCTGGTTGACAGGTAAAAATGCTGTTTAAATACTAAGAGCTGTAAATTACGGATGCCCTAAAGGGTCATAGATTCGCATGCTTTATTTTTTTTTATTCCATTTTGCCATGATAACGACATTTTTCCTTTCGAGTTATTTATTATTATTATTTATTATTGTTATATCACTATCCCAACACAGTGAATGTAGCTTTTTGTGGAGATCTCAAGATATTTATGGCATTATAATGACACGAATGTTATCACGATAAAACAATGACCATTATGCCGTCATAATAACCTCAAGAAAACATAAATACGACGAGATCTCAGGAAAAGAAATGAAAATAACTCCTTATCGCATAAAAAAGGAGTAAAAACAAGCAAATCAAATGTAATATCAGTGGGACACAGGTGGCACGATAATCGTGGAATCACTTTTTTCTACATTTCTGCATAATTTAATGGCTGAGAGGTACAAAAAGTCATTCGGAGTCATCAGGCAATGTATTCATAATTATTTCATGTCATATCTTTCTGTAAGGGAGCTTTTAGAGGCATTAAACTCATCAGATGTCTGGTTCCTATCAGCACCACTGTGAACAATTTTGATTTCAGTAAGTTTCTCTAGAACAGAGCATTTCACACCAAGCCACCCTGAATGACTTTGAAATTTTGAAAAATCAGTGGAGTTCCCCTTTAACTATATTTAACCCAGTAACTAAGGCATTATATCAGAAATTAGTGCATGTTACTGGATTTCCATTAGTGAGTTTAACAGATGAGTAAAGTAAACCAAAAAAATAAATAAATAAAAATAAGACATTTGTTGTGTTTTATAGTGTATGATGGTGTCTAACTCACCATCTCCAGCCAGGGAGGCTCTCTCCTCAGTCTCAGTCAAGACAGGCTCCTTTACCTCCTCATCACGCCTGGACTTTTTTCCAGCCATCTGCCAAACCACAATAAAACAAACGGCATATGAAAAACATAAAAACTCTACAGAACTTATTATTATGATACCTGAAGCCTGGATTCCTACTCATGTTCGAAAATTTGACTATAACATCATTTAAGGTGGAACGGGAAAATTCGAATAAGAAGCTGGTGACTAAGAATGTAACTTAACTGCTGCACTATTTAAGGTGGAACGGGAAAAAACGAACAAGAAGCTGGCAACTAAGAATGTAACTGCCGCACCATTTAAGGTGGAACGGGAAAATTCAAATAAGAAGCTGGTGACTAAGAATGTAACTTAACTGCTGCACCATTTAAGGTGGAACGGGAAAAAAACGAACAAGAAGCTGGCGACTAAGAATGTAACTGCTGCACCATTTAAGGTGGAACGGGAAAATTCAAACAAAAAGCTGGCAAATTGAATGTAACTGCTGCACCATTTAAGGTGGAACGGGAAAATTCAAACAAGAAGCTGGCGACTAAGTATGTAACTGCTGCACCATTTAAGGTGGAACGGGAAAATTCAAATAAAAAGCTGACGAATAGGAATGTAACTGCTGCACCACTTAAGGTGGAACGGAAAAAATCGAACAAGAAGCTGGCGACTAAGAATGTAACCGCTGCACCATTTAAGGTGGAACGGGAACAATCGAATGAAAAAGCTGGCGAATAGAAATGTACTTGCTGCACTATTTAAGGTGGAACGGGAAAATTCGAATAAGAAGCTGGTGACTAGGAATGTAACTTAACTGCTGCCCCATTTTTAAGGTGGAACGGAAAAAAGAACAAAAACAAAACAAAACAGCTGGCCAATAAGAAGCTGACTTCAGATCGCCTGAAGCTAACGTTGTCACTTTTACTCACTTCTTCATGACGGGCTGTAACGGCTCCCCGTAGAGACGCTAGCACTGAGGCTACTGCAAGCTCACGCGGGAAGAGACAGATAAATATAATGATCCCTTTGAAAAAAAACTCTGATTTAAAAGTCTAGCGATAATAAATGGTGCCAACTTGCTAGTGAGCTTTGGACCAAGAACTGATTCGGCACCTGTGGGGAACTTCGAGCTCTTCCCCGCTGTCCCGGCTGAGGAAAAGTGATTGGCTGAATCTCAAATGCCTCCCTATTCCCTACAAAGTGCACTAGGTGAGTGAGGAGACTATGGCTTCTAAACGCAAACAGTGTCCCGTTCTGGATTTCCGCACACATGGCCGAATCCCAAATGGCTCTCTGCTAGACATACGATGCTCTGTTTTTAGACAGAAGCTACTGACCTCTGAAACATCGCGACCTACGTAGTGCACTAGGTAGGGAGTATGGAGCCATTTGTGATTCAGCCATTGAGACGTGCACTTGACACACCCCGCCATTTGCGATGACGTTCAACTGGCTGAGGGAACACTTAGGCCTACATTTGGTTTACTTTAAAGGGGAATTCCACTAATTTTTAAAAATTCCTCAATAAATTAGTCATTGAGATGTCAACAGGGTCATTCAGCATGGTTTGATGTGAAGTGGTTCATTGTAGAGACTTTCTTTACAGTGGTGCTGTTAGAAACCATAATAACAATATATATATATATATATATATACATAAAAAACACATGTCTTCTGAGTTTTTGTATGTAATGTTGATTATGGTAAAATAATTAAAAATATGCAAAAATACATTTTCTATATTACAATTATTTTTACAATGCCCTGCATATATCCCTCCGCCATAAATGGATTAAAATTTTATCACAAAACTATTGTAAAGCAGTGTCTCAAACATCAGGAAGAATATATCTAACCATTTAATGTAACAGCTTTCTGTGAGGGAGCTTTCAGAGGCATTAAACTCTCTAGACGTCTGGTTCCTATCACCACCACTGTGAACAGTTCTCATATGGCAAGTTTCTCTAGAACAGAGCATTTTAGGCCAAACCACTCTGAATGACTTTGCTTGTGTTTCAACTATTTCTTTATGTAGAATTATCCCTCATATATTTTCCCTCAACACACACATGCCTTATATTTTCATATCTGGTCCCTAAGTGTGTAGAAATTAGTGAGGTGAGTGAATCGTTCTTTTGAACCGACACTTTACAAGAACTGATTCAAACTTTTTGTAGCATCTACACTGTGTTTATGTCCGTGTTACATGCTGAATTTGTATATATTTTCTTTCTAATGATGTTATAATAGTTTTGCAAAACCGCAGTCTAAATACCACATTGATTGACATTGATAGACAGACATGTGAATCAAAGACTCGTTAAGCCTGGCATTCGATTCGTTCAATTCAGTGAAACAGCCAGTTTGAAAGAATCGGTTTGTTAATAAGCTGAATCAAACGTCTCATAGTAGAAATACTTTAAGAAAACACAACTTCTAGATCATGAAAACCAAGTTTAAAAGGCATCATCAGAGCTATACGGGATAGTTGGAGTGGTGGCCCAAATCTGGGCCCCACCTCCACAATTATTTTACCTCTTCACTACACAAGTACTTAAATGAACAGCACATGCATGCAGTGAATATCAAAAGCTAAACCAGCAAGGGATGGATTGATACTGAGCTGTATTCAAATTTCTCTCAGTTTACAAGCCTGCCAATTTACGCTAATTAGCCTGCACATTAGTGTTGCATTTTAAAGGATGCCCTGCTGTGTTTGCATATGCTTAGAGCACAAGAGGCTGGCTAATTGAAAAATTAAGATGTGAGGGAGTTTGTCGGAGCAGGCCGCAGATGCCTTGTTCAAAGGGAAGTGCTCTGTAAATAGAGATGCCGAGCAGCACTATAAGAGCATTACGGGGGTTTTATTCAATAGGAAATCTATCGGATTAGAGCTGTTAGGTCAAACCAAGTGTGTCTAGAATCGCATTAGTGGGAAGGGTTGGAGAGCATTTCGGAGTGTTAGGCCTGCAGAGCGAAGCAAACCTTGCTGTAAATATTGTGCTTTAGCTAGATTTACACGTTTTGAGGTCTGTCCATGTGAAGGGTTTGCATCTGACATTGTACAGTACGAGTATGACAACCACCTCAATTTGCTATTTCTTTTTTTATATAATAGATAATAATGTTCCTGTTTCTGCGCAATGATGTCTGTGTGTTCCTCTGACATTGTAAGCTAGTCTTGTCAACTGCAGATACCACAGTACTGTACAATTCACTTTAACTAGCTACACTATATAAGGGGGATTTGGAGAGATGTGGAAAAGTGTAACATGCAGAAGAACATTTTGTTTTGAGGGTTGTGCTTTGGACCCCCTCCCTGAACGGATGCGTCTGATGATTGTGAGCCCATTGGAAGAGAATTCAAAGAGAACTCAGTCAAAACTTTGTGAAGGACGCATCTTCTGAGGATTTGAGTGAATTATCTACTGTTGTCATCAAATCTTCATCAGTATGATGTTGATTTTGCCTTTGAGACCTAAACATCAAGCCGGACCTTCTCTTAGAGTTTGTGTGGGTGTGACGTTAATACAAAAAGAACTATGGTGAAAAAACAGAGGTTTGAAATACTTTACACAATTTGTACTAGCAGTACTTACAGTCAGATGCAAAAAATGGACCATATCTGGTCAAAACTTGAACTGTACCTTGAGCCCTTCGAGCTTCGAGTACAGCTCGGCTTGACACACCATCCTTCAAGACGCGTAGACGACAAGCATCAAGACTTTTCTCTGTCCTGACACCCAGGTAGTGGAATGAACTCCCACTGGCTGTCCGAACAGCAGAGTCTCTCGCTGTCTTCAAACGCAGACTGAAGATACGTCTCTTTATACAGCACTTAAGTGAGCACTGAGCAGCTTTCTCTCTAACCTTTTAGTAACTAGCAAAGATACTTTCTCTAGATAGAAAAAGCACTTTTTGTAAATCACTCTGGATAAAAGCGTCTGCTAAATGCTGTAAATGTAAAGTTCCTGGTAAAATTGCATGTAAAAAAGAAGGTAACACATCTTGTACAGGGAACAAATGTAAATATGTATTTTCTGCTAGTTTTAGTGCACAATTTCTGCTTATTTGCTGAGTTTAACTTATGGGGAAAAAAAACAAAATATAAAATGTGACAAATTCTTCACAGGTGAAGGAATTTATTGTTGTGAAATGTGCTGTGTTGTGTGTGAATGTGCTGAAGTTGTATTTTAGGCTGCCTATTTTGTGTTTCTCCTTATATGGTCATGTTTGTCACACCTGTTACTTGTCCTGTATAAGCTGGGTCTAATCTTGGCATCAGTCCAGCTATAAAACTGCATCAGCCCAGTGTCTTACGGGCTGGCTGGGTGTCTGGAACCTGCGCGCGCAATGAATAAACTTCACTTGTCCAGACAACAGATCGAGTCCCCTGGTTTGGAATCAAAGAGGGTTTGGATTCTTCACAGGCCACAATTTATTTGTTTATTATTTCCAATATGTCAGTTTCAGCAAATAAACAGCAATTGTGCATTAAAATGTGTAGAAGTGTCTTCTCTGTAGGGGATGTGCTGATGAAAAAAATTTAATTTGACCAGGGGCACCAAAACTTTTGCATACAAGTTGATGCTGGCGTTAGTTCAGGCAGGCCACAAAGTCAAGCTCAGACCCCAATCTCAAATCACTAGCTGTTATCAGCTGATCTCAGTCAGATGGTAACTCAGGTGATCACCTGCTTTGCATAAAGTTGGCTGAATTCGTCATATTTGTTTATTTAAGCTGCTTTAGCCCATTCTTGCGCTTCCTCTGCAAGCCACTGTGCTTCTCCTGCTGCCCGGTGGTTAGCCTGGTATGGTGGTTTTGGGGGTCTTTCTGCTGCTCTCCCTGCCTTAGGCTTTCTGTTACTGCACATGGCAGAGCAGAAGGGTCCCAGAACAGAGCCGTACCACCAAATATATCTTTTAAGTTTATATTTGAGTTTTAAAGGAGTTTTCAAGCTCAGACCCCAGTCTCAAATCACCAGCTGTTATCAGCTGATCTCAATCAGCTGTCGACTCAGCTCATCACCTGCTAAGCATACAATTAGTTACATTGGTCAGGGCGTTTATTTAAGCTGCTCTAGCCTGCCCATTCTTGCCGCTTCCACTGCAAGCCACTTTTCAGCCCACCTCCACCCCAACTCCTTCTTCATGCTGTGTCTGTCTTAATCAATGGCGTGTTGTTGTCATTGATGCCTGCTCTGTTCGGTATCCTAGGGGGAGTCTTTCTGCTGATCTCCCTGCCTTCTAGAACAGGGCCATACCACCAAATATAACCAACGGCAAATGGAAACAAAACTGTATTTTTGTGACATTTAATTCTTACCTTGTCACAGTGTGCTAGTACATCATCATTTTTGCCATTTTTGAACTGAAACTTCACCTATCCCTGCTCCGCCCACAAATGTTTTCTCTGATAGCAACTGTTGCTAGGTTGGACAAGCCTTATAGAACACTGGCAAAAAACCCCATTCAAACTAATGAGAAATATGTGTAGCTTTTATCAAAATACTGTTATTATAGTGATATTTATTTTGTGTGCATGTGAAAGTGCACTCTCAGTATTTGTACTGGGTGTCTATTATTGTTTCGGTGACCTGTAGTGTGAAAGCATATAGTGCTTATTGTTGATCTGTGCCAGCGTTGATGTTTCACAGAGAGTGGCAGCATTTTACAGCAGACATTTTAGATAGACTGCTGACATCTTCTTTCACCTTGAGAGATAAGATTTGCTTCCGTGGCGCTTCCTCCGCGTCACAGTCCAAATCCAGATTATTATTAATTACATTGCAATTGGACTCCTCTGCCTGTAAATGATTTATGGTGTAGCCCATCTCTTTAGCCTGCAGTAATGAAATATGTTATGTGTAATGACAAAAATGGATTAATTCATTTGTGTAAAAGAGGGAGAAAAAACTCACGCAGCTGCAATTGAGTCACAGCTCTGCTCTTATACAGTAAAGTGATAGCCATTAATATTGTTTTATTATAAATGAATACACGGCTTGAAAAAAGATGAGTCAATTCATCCCAGGTTCGACAAAAGGTTGGAGCCTGCTTTTGAATGTGAGGAGCCTGTTAAACACTACTGAAAGAAGACAGTGTTAAAGG